ATTCTGTTGATGTGATACATGACTTTTATTGATTTGCAAATGTTGAACGACCATTGCATCTCTGGGATAAATCACACTTTATGGTGGTTTCCCACTTTCTGATGTGGTTTTAGATTCACTTTGCTAGTATTTCATTGAGAATCTTTGCATCTATGTTCTTTGAGGATCTAGGTCTGTAGTTTCCATGTCATGCCTTTGTTTTGCTGTCAAAGCAATGATGGTTTCATAAAAAGAGTTTGGCAGAGTTCCATCCTGTTCAATATTCTGGAATAGTCTGAAAGGTATTGGAGTTAGTTCCTCTTTGAATGTTTTGTGGATCTCAGTGGTAAAGCCATCAAGTCCTGGCCTTTAGAAAACATCCTTGAAGGGGGCTGGTGCTGTGGTGTAGTGGGTTAAAGTCCTGGCATGCAGTGCCAGCATCCCATATGGGCACTGGTTCAAATTCTAGCTGCTCTGCTTCCAATCCAGCTCCCTGATAATGTGCCTGGGAAAACAGTGGAAGATGGTCCAAGTCCTTGGGCCTTTACACCCATGTGAGAGACCCACAAGAAGCTCCTGGTTCTTATTTCAGATCTACTCAGCTCCAGCGACTGTGGCCATTTGAGGAGTGAACCAGCAGATGGAAGACCTCTCTCTGTCTCTCTACCTCTCCCTGTAACTGTGTCTTTCAAATAAATTAATTAATTAAATAAATTTTTTTAAAAAAGAAAACATTCTTGAAATGACAAAATGATACAAAATGAGAACCATGTGGCTAACAATTTCAGGTCTGGGGTGGAGTAATGAGGGCATGACTATGAGGATCTTTCCAGTTTTGTGATGGTCTTCTACAAACTCACAGTTAACATCCCTCTCATGGCTAGGATATCCACTTTCCTCATTTCTATTCTACACTGCATTTGAAGTTTGCTAGAGTGATTAAGCAAGAAAAAGAAGATGAAAAAAAGGCATGAATATTGGAAAAATGGAAGATTACCTTTTAAATGGTTATAGTATGTAACCGTTATAAAGGCTTTTCATATTCAGCCTTCTATACCTGCAGATAATATGATCTTATGCGTAGAAGAATATAAACACATGAAAACAACTGTTAGAACTAGTAAGCAATTTCCATAAGAAAGGATAGAAAAAAACATGCAAAACTAGAATAACAATTCCATTACCAAATCTAACTGAATAAATAAAATATAAGAAATTGCATCTTCTAAAAGCCCTCCTGGATGCAAAATTTTGGGGATTTCTTGGTTAAGAGATTTTAAATGATGTATACCATGCAAGATTATGAAGTTCTCCCTCTGTTTTCTTTCTTCACATCTTATTTTTACAATAACAGAATGATTATATATGGAGTTCATGTGGCAAAGGAAAGCTAAGAAGCACTAATGTGCTTATGTATAAGGTCCATATAAGCGGCCAGTGCCACGGCTCACTAGGCTAATCCTCCACGTTGCGGCGCCGGCACACTGGGATCTAGTCCTGGTTGGGGCACCGGATTCTGTCCCAGTTGCCCCTCTTCCAGGCCAGCTCTCCACTATGGCCAGGGAGTGCAGTGGAGGATGGACCAAGTACTTGGGCCCTGCACCCCATGGGAGACCAGAAGCACCTGGCTCCTGGCTTTGGATCAGCGCGGTGCGCCAGCCGCAGCGTGCCGGCCGTGGCGGCCATTGGAGGGTGAACCAATGGCAAAGGAAGACCTTTCTCTCTTTCTCTCTCTCTCACTGTCCTCTCTGCCTGTCAAAAAAAAAGAAAAAAAAAGTCCATATAAGCATAATTTTTCTTTATTTCACTCCTGAAAGCTAAGAACTCAGAATTACCTGCCTACTTGGCAGGTAATAGAAACTCAATAATAGTTTGCCAGGTTAAAGAATCAGGTCCCCCAACAGTTAATCTCATTGATTATTATGAAAATTAAGTAATATAGCATATCTGCTCCTCCTCCTTGTTATCGAAAGAACAATGTAGAGTAACAGGCATTCAGGGCTTTCATTTCAGACAGTGCATTATTCTCATTGACTCCCCTGGTCTCTGCCCTAATGAAGGCTCCAAGGTTCCTGCTAGTTCTCTGCTCATTGTTAGTGGGAAAAGTTCTTTGTGAGAGACAAGTCGTGATCATGAGGGGTTCCCCCAAACACCCCAGGATGCAACCTAAACCCAAAGCTGGGATGTACAAAATGATATATGATTCCCTTCACTGTTCCTCCATCTATAGCAGCACCTTGACAATCCCCCTTACACTATCTAGTGTCCTGTCTCAATGACTCATATGCAGTCTGTATGCAGAATGTACTTTGTGTTCTTCCCTATGCCTTTCTCTGTTCCCTGTCTGCCCCCATCCCCACCCCTTTTGCTTGGATACCACTTGTAATGCAGATCAAATGTTACATCCTTTGGGGAAATATTGCAAACTCTGTTCTCTTTATTTATTTATTTTTATTTTTTTATTTTTTGACAGGCAGAGTGGACAGTGAGAGAGACAGAGAGAAAGGTTTTCCTTTTGCCATTGGTTCACCCTCCAATGGCCGCCGTGGCCGCCGCAGCCGCCGTGGCTGCCATGCTGCGGCCAGCGCACCGCGTTGATCCGATGGCAGGAGCCAGGTGCTTTTCCTGGTCTCCCATGGGGTGCAGGGCCCAAGTACTTGGGCCATCCTCCACTGCACTCCTGGGCCACAGCAGAGAGCTGGCCTGGAAGAGAGGCAACCGGGACAGAATCCAGTGCCCCGACTGGGACTAGAACCTGGTGTGCCAGCGCTGCAAGGCGGAGGATTAGCCTAGTGAGCCGCGGCGCCGGCCCAGACTCTGTTCTCTTATATGGCTTCCTCTGTTTCCTCCTTCCCATTATGGTGTTAAATAGGACCTCATTTCCTTGGGTTCACTGCATTTTCACTGATGCCCTAAGGTATCATAACGATTATCCTCCTTTACATATCAGCTTCCTTTACTAGACTATTTGCTCCTGTGAGCTAACTGGGGGGTCAGTTTGAGGCACAACCTGGGTACTGAGCATGTGCCATTTAAAGAATATTCCACTGAATAATTAGGAATTTGTACTTTCCAGTTGGCCATGGGAGAGAGTCGACAGTAGAGCATTGCTCCATAGCAAAAAATTCTTTAAGAGACCAGGTTAATAGAACATGGGAGGGAGCCAGAATTGTAGCACAGTGGGTTAAATGACAGCTTGTGATGCCCACATCCCATTTCAGAGTGAAGGTTATAGCTTGCCTCTTCTGCTACCAATCCATTTCCTGCTAATGTGCCTGGAAATGCATTGGAAGATGGTCCAAAGTCTCAGATTGCTGATATCTATGTGTGTGAACAGGATGGAGTTGCTGGCTGCTGTTTTTGGCCTGGCCCAGCTTTGGCTGTTGTAACCATTTGGGAAATGAACCAGCCAATGGAAGATCTATCTTTCTGACTCTCCTTTTTCTGTCACTTGCACTTTCAAACAAGTAAATAAATAAATATTTAAAAAAAAAAAAAGAAGAAGAAAGGAAAATACGTCCCCAGCAAGTCTAAGACTCAACAGCACAGACATTAAACCCTATGACTCTAGAAAAATCTTTCAATTCATGTGCCACTTCTTGGGAAAATTTGGGGTGGGAATTGGTTCCAAAGGTTCAAGTATCTTTGTCTCCAAAGCTTTGGTGGGTTCAGACCATGCTTCAGCTCCCTAGAGTTCAAGTCTCATGGCTGTAGCTCTGCCATGATGCTTTTAAAGACTTGGCATCTCCTCAACTCTGGGATCTTGGTGGCGGTAATACTCCCTACAGTACCACCAACCATTATCCAAGTGGCAACTCTCTATGTTGACCTAATCCCCAAGGCCCCATTGGGCAGTACCTTGGTGAAGACTATGTGGCTGCCCTGCCCTTGTAGCAAGTTCCTTACTGGGCTGTTGGTTTATCTGCAACATATTTTGTAACTTAGAGGCCACTATCATGGCCCCAGAGTTCATGTACTCTTAACATTTGTAGAGTGAGTAACATCATATGGACATCACCAAGGCTTATCAGTTGTGTCCTCTAGAATATTGAGTCAAGTGGCACCTCAGCCCATCTTAGCCATAGCTTATGTTGCCAAGGAGCCCTGCACTGTTATTTAGAGGGCGCATACCTGAGGTGACCCAGGATAGCAAATGCTGAGGTCCCATGGGTGCTTCTCTGAAAACCTTACCCTCAAAACTTTTCCTTGAGTTTAGGTTTTCTTGAAAATCTGTTAGATGACTTTAAAATTACTCATCTATTTTCTTAATGAATAGACCTGGCCTCCCCTTACCCATATTCATCTTTTTATCATATAGTTGCTTGGCCATGCCCTGACATTTTCTCCTAAATATCAAGATGAGAAGTTTCAAAGTTTCTGTCATGACTCCCTTTTAATTATAAATTCCATATTTAAATAATTTCACTCTTCTCCCATTTTATGGTAAGTGGCCATGAAGAACCAAAGTGACTTTATTTTTAAACAATAAAAAAAGCAGCCTCCATTTCCCATAGCAGACCCAGGTCCTTGTAAAAGCAGGCATTCAGGCATTCCAGAGATATCAAAGCTTACCAGGGACAGCTAGCTCGGTAGACCAAGGACAGCACAGTCGAGATTGCTGAACAAAGTAACTCCCTGTGCCCAAAGCTTCGGTGCTGTAAGTCCCCGCTGTAACTCCTTGTACCCAAAGCTTCCATGCTATATGTAACTCTTTTTTCCTGCTGATGTAGCCCTTTTTCCCTTTAAAAACTCTCCCAAACAAAGACCGGGGCCTCACTCCTTCCTCTGCTGTGCTGGTTGGTTGGATGGGGTCCCTGTCGCAGCTTGTACTCCCGAATAAACCTTGCTTTTGCAGTTCGGTGTGATCAACTCTGGGGGTCTCTGTGGGGATCTAACTATCTGGGCACAACATACTTTTTGGTGCCCAACATATTTTGGGGGCTCATCCAGGATTGTGATCCCCAAAAAGCCCCCCAGCGACCTCGACCCCGAAGGTTTGCTCCAGTCAACTGGGTGAGTTCGTTAGTCTATTTGTTCGTTGTTTAACTGTATCTAAATCTGAATCTGTAGCATAGGCCATTGCATCTGCATTCTGAATCTGTGGAGGGTCACTGCCTGAGCGGACGCGCTCGAAGGGCACACCCCGTAGGAAACGGAGACGTCCCGATTCCTCGTCTGGGACCTGGGGAGGTCCAATCTGTATCTGAGACCTGGGAAGGTCCAATCTGTATCTGGGGACCTGGTTAGGTCCAATCTGTATCTGGGGATGAAGAGAAGAGGGACTGCTGCAGAGTTCTCGTCCCATCTGTAAGGTCTTTGGTCTCCAAAAAGATTTCTCCAAAAGAAATCATGCAGGACCTTGAATACTTTGCTGCTTAGATATTTCTTCTGCTATATATTCTACTTCATAGCTCTTAAGGTCATCTCTCCATAAAGCCTTTGGGCAGAAATAAAATAATAAAATTAAGCTGAGGTTTCTGTCAGCTTAATTTACATGAGTTTAGAATATCTTGTTCCCATTTCTATCTGAGATCTCTGTAGAATTGACTTTGCCATCCATATTTCTTTTTTTTTTTTTAATTTTTTTTGACAGGCAGAGTGGACAGTGAGAGAGAGAGAGAGACAGAGAGAAAGGTCTTCCTTTGCCGTTGGTTCACCCTCCAATGGCCGCCGCGGCCGGCGCTGCAGCCGGCGCACCGCGCCGATCCGATGGCAGGAGCCAGGAGCCAGGTGCTTTTCCTGGTCTCCCATGGGGTGCAGGGCCCAAGCACCTGGGCCATCCTCCACTGCACTCCCTGGCCACAGCAGAGGGCTGGCCTGGAAGAGGGGCAACCGGGACAGAATCCGGCGCCCCGACCGGGACTAGAACCCGGTGTGCCGGCGCCGCAAGGCGGAGGATTAGCCTAGTGAGCCGCGGCGCTGGCCGCCATCCATATTTCTGCAAACATTCTAGTCACAACTACTTAAGTAATCTCTCTCTCTCTCTCTCTCTCTCCCTCCCTCCCTCCCTCCCTCTCTGATTTATTTATTTATTTTGAAAGGCAGAATTATGGGGATGGTGTGGGTGTGGGGTGGAGAAAACCTTCCATCTGCTGGTTCACTCCCCAAATGGCTGCAATAGCTGGGATGGGCCAGGCCAAAGCCAGGATCCAGGAGCTCCTTCTGGGTCTCCCACATGGGTGACAGGGGCCCAAGCACTTGGGCTATCTTCTGCTGCTTTCCCAGGTACATTAGTAGGGAGCTGGATTGGAAGTGGAACAGTCCAGACACAAACTGGTGCCCATATGGGATGCTACCACCACAGGTGGCAGCTTTTCCAACTATACCACAGTGCTGGCCTTAAGTAATCTCTAAGAACATTTTCCCTAAAGCTCTCTTCTTCTGAGCCTCCAGAGAATTTCCCTAATGTTCCATTCATAGCAATTTTGCTATGTACTCCTTTGCAATTTTGCTAATGTACTCCGCTAAATTCTTTTAGTCTCTTCCTATTATCCAGTCCTAAGTTGTCTAACCCATTTTCAGGGATTTATTATAACAACAACTCTACTTCTGATACAAATTTCTGTCTTGATATTGTGTTGCAATTACCAGAATACCTTAAACTGGGTGATTTATAAGGAACAGATTTATTCTTACATTTCTGGAATTTGGGACATCCAAGTTCAAGGGGCTCAAATCTGACAAGAGTCTTCTTGTTATGTCATCCCATGGAGGAAGGCAGGGGTGAAAGTGAGCCAGAAAGTGCAGAACCCATTCTTACAACAAAACCTACTCTTGAGATAGCAACATTAACCCATTACAAAGGTCAGAGTCCATGTGACTTTTATCACCTCTTCAAATGTCCCATATCTTTATACTGTTGCACTATGAATTAATCTTACAACACAAGACTTTCAGAACAGATTCAAATCATTGATTCAAAACATTAGGTTTGGCAATTATTTCATCAATATGACACCAAAACCAAAGGCAACAACAAAACCCCATAGATATATTGGATTTTATCAAAATTTAAAATGTGTGTGCATCAAAAGACAATATCAAAAAGGTGAAATACACACAAATCACAACAACAGATCACGGCTTACAGTACAGGGCTTATAAAATAGAAAATAACTTCTAGAAAAATGTTTTTTCCATGATATGAAGAGACACCTGGAAATTTGATTTTAAATAATCAGTTACTTTGAAGAACAGCACTCCACAGGAAATATTTTCTCCAGAATCTGTCAACTGATCAAATGTTTTTGAAATCTCAGTTTTGGGAAGCCTCTCCCAAGCATCTTGTCTTAATGAAAACACGTCCAAAATCATTGAATCTGACCTTCAGTAAACAGGGACAAATATTATTTGAAAAGCTACACAATGACTAGAATTTAATGAATAATGATGACTGGGCTTCTTCCAATTATAAGGGACCTAAATAACATATTTTATTGGGAACTAAGAGGATTTATTAGTTTATTTCAAAAGTACTATAACTTCTATCAAGCCATCAAGCTTACTTGAGTGGAAGGGATCTGATATGATGAAATTTTCAACTCAAACAAATCAGGCCTGTAAAGATGTGATCTTATTTGCATTTAATATTTATCTGTACTTTGAGAGTTATCTAACAAGCCTATTGTTCCAAAACTGTTGACTTGTTTTAAAATTTGAAAAGCAATAAAAATTGTGTTCAAAAATTATAACACATGTATTATATAATAACTTGGTCATCAAGATACAGAATTTTGTGCATGACCATAGATTACAGATCTATTCTTTATGTGATTATGATATTTTTCTTCTCATATCTGGGATATGTGGGTATCTCCTAGTCTCCAAAAATAGTAACTACAATTTTAAATTAAAATATTTGGTTAACTGGTAACAACTCACCAACTACTCGGGGAATCCAAAGGAAAAGGTAGGTAGACAGAAATAAGATCTGATTTCCTACCAGTGTAAGAAGGTCTCCAGTGTGTGCTCTCCCAAGACTTGAGTCAACTGTATGGCAAATCTATTTCTAGTTTTTTAAGAAATCTTTGTGGGGCCAGCATTGTGGAGTGAAGCGGCAGATGGAAGATTCAGTCATTCCCCCACCCCCTCTTTCTAACTCTGCCTTTCAAATAAATTAAGTCTTTTTTTAAAAATGATGAATGGAAGCCAGTGCTGTGACATAATGGGTAAAACCAATACCTACAGTGCCAGCATCCTGTTTGGCTGCTGGTTCAAGTCCCGGCTGCTCCACTTCCGATCCAGATCTCTGCTAATGGCCTGGGAAAGCAGTAGAAAATGGCTCAAGTGCTTGGGCCCCTGCATCCATATGGGAGACCTGGAGGAAGCTCCTGGGTCCTAGGTCTTGGCTTCAGATTGGCCATTGTATCCATTTGGGGGTAAACAAGTAGATGGAAAATCTTTCTCTCTTTGCCTCTGCCTCTCTGTAACTCTGACTTCAAATGAATAAATAAATCTCTAAAAAGAAGAAAAATGATGAATGAAATATCAAATACATTAAATATGTTCCCTTTACATAAATTAAAAAGTAAACTTGCATTTGTTGCTATCTATCTTTTGGATAATAGCCATTGTGACAGGGGTGAGATAATATTTTGTGGCTTTAATGTATTTCACTGATGGCTAGTGATACTAAATATTTTTCACATTTTTTTGGCCGTTTGTATTTCTTCTTTTGAGAACTGTCTATTCAGGTCCTTGGCCTATTTCTTAATTATATTGGTTGTTGTTGTTATTGAGTTTTTTGAGTTGCTTATATATTCTGTATATTAATCTTTTGTTGGATAAGTAGCTTGCAAATATTTTGTTTCATTGTCTTAGATGTCTTTTCACTCTATTGATTTCCTTTGCTGTGCAGAAGCTTCTGAGTTTGGTATAATCAAATCTGTCTAGTTTTGCTTTTGTTGCCTGAACTTTGGGGGTTTTTACAAGAAGACATCAACTATAGAAATATCTTTAATTATTTCTCCTGTATTTTCTTCACTGTGGCGCAGCTGGTAAAGCTTCTGCCTCTAGCACCAGCATCCATAAGGGCACCAGTTTGTGTTCTAGCTACCTCACTTCTGATCCAACTCACCACTAATGTGCCTAGGAAGCAGTGAAAGATGGCCCAAGTGCTTGGACCCCTGTACCCACATGGGAGACCCAGAAGAAGCTGCTGACTCCTGGCTTTAAAGTGACCCAGCTCTGGCTGTTGCAGCCATTTGGGGAGTGAACCAATAGATGGAAGAGCTCTTTCTCTCTCTTTTTGTAACTAGCCTTTCAAATAAATGAATAAATCTTTTCTTAAAAAATTAAATAAAAAATTTTAAAAAGAAAATCAAGAGGCCAGCACTGTGGCACAGCTGGTAAAGCCTCTGCCTGTGGCACCATCATCCCATATGGGCACTGGTTCAAGTCCCGGCTGCTCCTCTTCTGATCCAGCTCTCAGCCTGGAAAGGCAGTAGAGGATGGTCAAAGTGCCTAGGCCCCTGCACTCATGAGGGAGGCACAGAGGAAGCTCCTGGCTCCTGGCTTTGAATTGGCCCAGCTCCAGCTGTTGCAGCCATTTGTGAAATGAACCAGTGGATGGAAGACTTTCTCTCTCTGTCTCTACCTCTCTCTGTCTATAACTCTACCTCTCAAATAAATAAAACAATCTTTAAAAAGAGAGAAAGAGATTGAGAGAGTCAACCATATGGAGCTCTTGTATTTTCAAATCATGCTGGACTCTCTGGAGGGCAGAGTAGCCAACAAACTTTGGCATTCCTTGTTCACTTAAGATTCCAGTTTCATGCAACTTTGAATGGAAGAGGGCACTGTACACTTTAAACACTATTACATGAGCCAAAGCAATATTTTTGGAATTTTAATACTTTTCATAAGGCTTGGTTTAAATACCATCAGGTTTTTTTCTTTATTGAACAATTAATTAATCCACTTATGTAGATCCCATAGATGGATACAGAAGGCATAGTAGAAATCAGCTTAATTGTAATCTGTTAATACTTTGAAGAAGAAATGCAAATACATACAGGGGATTCAGGAATATGAGATGGCTCCACAGCAAGTGTTAACCAAGATAATCTATAGTTGATGAATTAACAGGTCAGTATTATTTTTATTATACTTCGATTTTCTGTAGTGATCATGATATGCCTTCGAACAACATTAAAAATAACAAATATTTTAGTTAACATAAAATTTCTAAGTTAAACCAGCAGAGAATAGGAATCATTAGGAGCACCGAGGAATATGGAATGCGAAGAGGAAAGGAAGGGTGAACGAGAGAGAAAGAGGGGCGAAAAAGAAATTCAGTGGCAGTGGGAGGAGAATGGGGAGGGGTTAGGACCAGTGACTCAAGAGCTGCATGATAGCACAAGGGATATAAAAGCCTGCTTGAGTCAGGAAGAGAAAGCAGCCTGAAGCCCAGAGTAGACACAAGGGCACTGGTTGGTAAGCAACCACAGAAGCAGTCCCTGAGAACTGAACCACTCAGCACAGGAGAGACCAGCCCAGCATGCCCAGCCTGTTCTTGTCCTCTCTTCCAGTAGTCTGGCTGCTGCTAAGTCAGCTCACCACAGAAAGCTCTGCCAAATGGGTGGACGATGAAAAGGTGACATTATGTGGCACTGAATTTGATGCGACCATGATGATCGTGTGCATGGAAGACAAAGTCTACAAAGAAAAAGAAAAGCAGCAATCTGGATCACTAAGTGAGATCTCCCACCCTGCTATCTTTCCATCCTTTTCATGGGTTGCCCTCAGGCGGTCGACCAATCCGAATGGCCAACCACTGAGCCCAGCCCCAGATCTTATTGGCTGCAGGCCCTAACCCACCACCCTGCCATGGCTGGAGCTTACAATTTGAGGTTTACCTTTGTAACATGCTTTTATGGAAAGACTCTCACTGGGAATCTTAGAAGGAGGGAAAACTGTGGGAAGAGAGACACTGAGTGCCTTTTCCATCTGGCACCCAGGATAACAGAATAGAGGGGAAAGGGAAGCCATGTAAGAGGTTATTGTACTTCAAGACCTACAGGACGCGGGGCGCACTCTTGGATCCCAGAGGAAAGCTGGTTGGAACAGAAAGCTGACATGCTGGACACTCAGCACCTGGACAGGGCATTTTCAATCGAGAGAAAAGGAGCAAACAGAGAGGTGATGAGAGGTTATTAAGGCTATTTGTTCTGTTCCAAAGGGCAAGGAGGCAGTACTCTAAGACCTCTACTTAGGTGGCCTGGAATAGGATACAAGGAAGGGACTTATATTTAATGACCCTCTTCCTTGTAAAATAGCTGGACTGTGACCTATCTCATGGAGAGTATCTTTTTTCTTTTTTAAAAATGCACCCCATGGAGACAATCTTGCTTCTCATTTCTTTTATGTGGGTCTTGTAGTTTACTTAAGAGAGAAAGGATAGAAGAGAAACACAAATGCTTGAGAGATTAAAGAGAAAATGTAAGGGGACCAGAGAGAAGAGCAGCTTGCCCTACTGGTAGTCATAGTTGATGATCTGATTGATGCTTTCAAGCATTTGAAACTGCAATGGATTTTCTTTTTTTCTTTTTCTTTCTTTTTTTTTTTTTTTTTTTTTTTTTTTGACAGGCAGAGTGGACAGTGAGAGAGAGAGACAGAGAGAAAGGTCTTCCTTTGCCGTTGGTTCACCCTCCAATGGCCGCCACGGCCGGCGCGCTGCGGCCAGCGCACCGCGCTGATCCGATGGCAGGAGCCAGGAGCCAGGTGCTTTTCCTGGTCTCCCATGGGGTGCAGGGCCCAAGCACCTGGACCATCCTCCACTGCACTCCCTGGCCACAGCAGAGGGCTGGCCTGGAAGAGGGGCAACCAGGACAGAATCCGGCGCCCCGACCGGGACTAGAACCCGGTGTGCCAGCGCCGCTAGGCGGAGGATTAGCCTAGTGAGCCGCGGCGCCGGCCCGCAATGGATTTTCTTTAAACTGAGATTTCAGAAATGAGAACAGTTCGATTACAGAAATTTTTTTAAAATATTTAGTTATTGGCCGGCGCCACAGCTCACCAGGCTAATCTTCTGCCTGCGGCGCCGGCACCCTGGGTTCTAGTCCTGGTCGGGGCACCGGATTCTTTCCGGTTGCCCCTCTTCCAGGCCAGCTCTCTGCTGTGGCCTGGGAGTGCAGTGGAGGATGGTCCAGGTCCTTGGGCCCTGCACCTGCATGGGAGACCAGGAGGAAGCACCTGGCTCCTGGCTTTGGATCGTCGTAGCGCGCTGGCCATAGCGGCCACTTGGGGGGTGAACCAATGGAAAAAGGAAGACCTTTCTCTCTGTCTCTCTCTCTCTCTCACTGTCTAACTCTGCCTGTCAAGAAAGAAAGAAAGAAAGAAAGAAAGAAAGAAAGAAAGAAAGAAAGAAAGAAAGAAAGAAAGAAAGAAAGAAAGATTTAGTTATTCATTTGAGAGGCAGTTATAGAGAGAGGTAGAGACAGAGAGAGGGGTCTTCTATCCACTGGTTCACTTTCCAAATGGCTGCAACAGCTGGAGCTGAGCCTATCTGAAGCCAGGAGCCAGGAGCTTCTTCCGGGTCTCCCACGTGGGTACAGGAGCCCAAGCACTTGGGCCATGTTCTACTGCTTTGTCAGGCCATTAGCAGGGAACTGGATTGGAAGTGGAGCTGCTGGGACAGTGCCCAGTATAGGATGCCAGTGCTGTAAGTGGAGGCTTAACCACTGCACCAGCCCCAGAATGCACTGGCCCCCAGAAACTTTTCTAAGCCATATAGTATTTATAAAGATCAACTAGAGGCTAAGTGAAAATGAAAATGAACAGCTTTTGAAAGAGATAGAGGCTATTCTATTTAGTCTAATAGGTAACATTAAATTCTCAAAAGCCAAGGTAAATTATTATTCTTTTATATTTAATATAGTTGTCATAGTTTCGCATATGTTTGATAAAGAAAACTGCTTAAGTTGTATGTATATTCTACATATAAGTCACTCCCTATGTAAAGTCATTGTGAAAAGTAAGTCCATTTACTTTCATTTCATGGTATTTAAAGTATAATATTAAACTTATTTTCCTACATTCTTGGTCAAGATTTGATTAATTTTAGTGTAAAATAAGGGACTACTTCAGAATCTAGGAAATTTTATAGTGCAAACTAAGAGAAGATTGCACAGTAATTTGTGTAGACTACACTCTTTTTCTGAGTAAATAAGTCAAAATATTTAACTAAAAGACTTTTAAAATGTAGATAAGATTAATAAGAAAAAGGGAAAGTACTCATGAGTATTCAATGTTAATATCTGAAATAAATATACAGATTAATGTAGACATAGATCTATTTTTTTAATTTACTTATTAATTTGAAAGACTGTTATAGAGAGAAGTGAGGGGTTGAGGGATAAAGAGAGGTAGAGAGAAAGACATAGAGACCTTCTATCTGCTGGTTCACTACTCAAATGGCCTCAATGGACAGAGCTGGACCAGGCCAAAACCTGGAGCCTGAAACTCCATCAGGTCTTTCATGTGAGTGGCAGGGGCCCAAGTACTTGGGTCACTTTCTGTTGCTTTTCAGGCACATTAGCAGGGAGCTTCTTCAGGAGCAGAGCACCTAGAACTGCAACCAGTGCTCGGGTTTGATATGCTGGCATCGCAGGTGGCAGCTTAACGTGCTACACCATAGCACTGGCTCCAAATTTAATTTTCTGAATCTTTTTGTTGGACATACTTGTGATTATTAATTTTCTCATGCAATACAGTGCATAATTCAGTTGTAAACCATGGTTCAAGCATTTAGAGGGCAATGGGAAGAGGGCACACAGGGGACAGTGGAATAAGCATACCTTTGGGAATGTTGTAGTACCTCACATTGCCCAACTCAAAGCAACTTAAATTTAAAGACGTTGGGACAGTTGCTGATTCTGGTTGATGTTACATTTTGATGATGGTTACATTTTGGTCTAGTCAAAATTTTACAATTTTTCTGATGTTCTTTGACTCAAATATTTTTCCAAATATCTCACCCCTCATTTTAAACTTAACAGAAATGATGCCATCCTCCATCAACAATGATGCAGACATCTTAGATATATCAGAATACGTGCCTAACTTGTCACAGGAACAGAAGGCCATACCATCTGAGGAAGAGCCATCATTGATGAAAGTACTACGTGCTGAACAAAAGAAAATGACAACTGAGGAAATTGCCAAAATATGTTGTGAAGAAGGTTGTGACAAAGAAACTTTTATTCAAGTGTGCCAAGCATTGTGATTGTGAACTTCACACCCACCTTCATGTATATTGCTCATGACACATTTGTTGATGTCCAGTGGAGTCACCATTGATTGTTAGAATATGAGAAATCATTATTAGTGTTTACATTTTCCATGTCTTCTCTAATAATATAGTCTTTCTGATTCTACTTTCTCTGAAAAATGAATTGTTTTCTACATAAACCTTTGTCTTATTAGTGGTATAAATATATCAATGTCTTACTAATGGTATAATGAAATTTTGCTTTTGAATCTTATTAAATTTATAATGATTAAAAACTTCTTTATCTAATCAATATAGTAACTTTTCTGTATACACCAAACACCAGGTTCACATAAAAGTGACAACATTTTAAATCAACCTTGTCAACAAAGACCATATGAACACAAAACCACAATAATTATATTTTTCTGCTCAAGTTGAAGTAGGGTTTGGGGAGATCATATTGAAATACTGTTTGAAAACTATCTAAGTGACAATAAATTTGGATTTTTGTGCTCAAATGAATAATTATTTTTAAAAGATTTATTTATTTACCTGAAAGTCAGAGTTACAGAGATGGAGAGACAAAGAAAGAGATCTTCCATCCACTAGTTCACTCCCCAGATGGCTGCAATGGCTAAGGCAGGCCAGACTGAAGCCAGGAGCCAGGAGTTCCATCTGGATCTCTAGTGTGGGTGGCAACAACCCAAACACTTGGGACATCTTTTGCTACTTTTCCTATGCCATTAGTAAGGAGCTGGATGGGAAGTGGAGCTGCCGAACATCAACCAGCAACCACATGGGATACTGGCATTGCAGGTGGTGGATTTATCTGCTACATTACAAAGATAGCCCCCTATAATTATTAATTTAACTAATATTTCTTCTATGATTTTAAGATATTCAATAAATATCTTAAGTTATATAAATGAATAATCATACAAATACCTGAGTAAATAGCTTATTTTATTTTTAGAAAAAAACTAGTTTGGAAAGGGACTAATCCATTGTACAATTTTATCATTTACAAAAATCTTATATAAGCAAATAAATTGCTAAATGATTTAGGGTTCTCTTATTTAAAAGATTTTTATTTATTTTACTTTGAAAAGCAGAGTTACAGGAAGAGAGAGAGAGAGAGAGAGAGAGAGAAAGAGATCAATCTTTCATCCGCTGGTTCACTCCCCAAACAGCCACAAAAACCAGGGCCAGACCAGGCCTAAGCCAGGAACATGGAACTCTATCCAGGTCTTCCATATGGGTGCATGGACCAAAGGATGTAGGTCATCCTTCATTGCTTTCCTAGCACATCAGCAGGGAGCTGAATTAGAAGTAGAGTGGCCAGGATACAAGCCAGCGCTCATATCCATATGGGATACTGGCATTGCAAGTGGCAGTTCAATGCACTGCACCACAACACCGGCTCCTACAGGCATTTCTTGGCATGGTAAAACAGCAAGGAATCATCTCAAAATTTCATCAGTTTCTTTACTGGTTTCCTAATAGTTTTATTAAAAAAACAAAAACTCTCCTATTATCAATCTCTTCCCTGCTAAGCTTTAAAGTATCTGTATAAAGTTTTTTCTCTCTCATTCCCTCTGGGTTCCACCATAAATCTGCTTCTTTGTCTCCTCCCCTTTTAGAGGCCACAGCAGCCCCCACTGCCCTAATCCAGTGGTAACTCTTAGTTGCTATCTACTCCTCTCTGATATTTCACCTATTTTTGCTAATCATTGCTAATAGTTTAAGTTCCACAGGATGAACAGGCAATAAATGCAATGTAATTACTCTTAATATTCATCCAAAGGGCCTTTGAGAATTAGGTAGATGATGGTTCCCCAACTTTGTAGAACACTGGAAGCATCTGGAAATCTTTAGAAATGCTGAGAAAATACTGAAAAGTGTGATGAGGGCTGATTCCCTCAATCAAACATACTGACCTGTTTCAGAACATGACACAAGCATTATGACATTTTCAGGGCCACTACATTAGAGAACCACTTGTCTTGGTAAGGTCTCAGGTTTGCAGTGGAGGACATGGATGATTGGCTGATCTCAAGAACCAATCACTCTATTGAGAAAAGATTGGAGAGTATAAGCTATTGGACTTTATCAGAGAGTTTGTTTTCAATAATTAAAGTGTAGATTGTAGGGCCTGTGGCAACTTGATGGTCTGTATGTGAATATGATGAAGATATGCTGGTGGTAAGGGCAGGAAACTACTAAAGAAATTTTTTCAAAGTCCTAGACAATCAGGTTTCTCAACATTCTCCCTCTATCTAAAGTAGAAATAATGCAAAAGCTGGAGCAATCATATTATCCAGTTTAACATCAAAACCTTATAAGAGGCCGGCGCCACGGCTCACTAGGCTAATCCTCCGCCTTGCGGCGCCAGCACACTGGGTTCTAGTCCTGGTTGGGGCGCCGGATTCTGTCCCAGTTGCCTCTCTTCCAGGCCAGCTCTCTGCTGTGGCCAGGGAGTGCAGTGGAGGATGGCCCAAGTCCTTGGGCCCTGCAACCCATGGGAGACCAGGAGAAGCACCTGGCTCCTGGCTTTGGATCAGCGCGGTGAGCCGGCCGCAGCGTGCCGGCCGTGGAGGCCATTGGAGGGTGAACCAATGGCAAAGGAAGACCTTTCTCTCTTTCTCTCTCTCTCACTGTCCACTCTGCCTGTCCAAAAAAAAAAAAAAAACAAACAAACAAACAAACAAAAAAACACCTTATAAGAGGTTTTTAAAAAGCTTTAAATGATGTATCTGGTGGTGGGAGGAATTAGGCATGATTCCTCTGGGATAACCACATGGGCATCTCTAAATCCCTGCTCCCTTGGACATTTGCTGAATATACATTCCCTATATACCCATCCCTACTTGCTTCTATACTTTGTATATCCAATTCTTCTGTGGAGTCCTTTTTCTTCCACAGGGAATATCTCAGATTCCTTCCTCCAAGAATTGAGTAACTCTAAGATAGGTCTTCCTGTGGCAGCCTTGACCTCATCCCTGTGCACTGTAGAATCTTTTAGCAGAGAGGTCAGCCTTTCCTTTGTTCTACCAACCTAGGCACTCAAGAATATTTTTTGCTTTAGCCATGGTCTTCTGTTCCATTCTCTTCCCTAGCCTATTGGAAGGTACAAATTACTAATTATTCAGTGAAATTCTCTTCAAAAGACACATATTGAGTAGCTACATTGTGCTTCAAATTAACTCCGCAGTCAGTACACAGCAACAAATAGTCTTAGGGCAGGGGTGGGGGGTTGATACATAAAGGGGGAAACGTGTTATGATACCTTACAGCATCAATGAAAATGCAATGAATGGGGTCCTATTTAACACCATAATGGGAAGGAGGAAACAGGAGGCCATAAGAGTAAGAGAACAGAGTGTGCACAATTTCCCTAAAGGATGTTACATTTGATCTGCATTACAAGTGGTATCCAAGCAAAAACATTGGGGAAAGGGAACAGATAGGGGACAGAGAAAGGCACAGGGAAGAACACCAAGCACACTCTGCATAGAGCCTGCATATGAGTCAGTGAGACAAGACATTAGGTAATGTAAGGGGGATTATCAAGATGTTCCTATAGATGCTACAGATGGAGGCAGGGTGAAGGGATCTTAAACCATCTAGTACATCCCAACTTTGGGTTTAGGTTGCATCCTGGGGTGTTTGGGGGAACCCCTCATGATCATGACTTGTCTCTCACAAAGAACTTTTCCCACTAACAATGAGCAGAGAACTAGCAGGAACCTTGGAGCCTTCATTAGGGCAGAGACCAGGGGAGTCAATGAGAATAATGCACTGTCTGAAATGAAAGCCCTGAATGCCTGTTACTCTACATTGTTCTTTCAAGAACAAGGAGGACCTTAGCTTTCAGGAGTGAAATAAAGAAAAATGATGCTGGAGCCAGTGCTGTGGCGCAGTGGGTTAACGCCCTGGCCTGAAGCGCCAGCATCCCATATGGGCACCGGTTCGAGATCCAGCTGCTCCACTTCCCATCCAGCTCTCTGCTACGGCCTGGAAAAGCAGAAAAAGATGGCCCAAGTCCTTGGGCTCCTGCATCCACGTGGGAGACCAGGAAGAAGCTCCTGGCTCCTGGCTTCAGATTAGCGCAGCTCCAGCCGTTGCAGCCATCTGGGGAGTGAACCACGGGATAGAAAACCTCTCTCTCGCTGCCTCTCCTCTCTCTGTATAACTCTTACTTTCAAATAAATAAATAAATCTTTTTTAAAAAATGATGCTTACATGTTTTTATACATAAGCACATTATCTTCATGGAAGGGTACCAGTCCTGGTGGATTTGAGCATACACAGAATTAGTATGACTCCATGTTAACTAATTATGTCTGCGACTACCCCATATCCACAAAAGTTCTTTCAGAGACAAAGTGCTTGTGATTTCAAGCACTTGATTTACCTCTTTGGGAACAGAGTTCAATCCACAACAGATCCCAGGAACAAATCTATACAGGGCAGCACAGGATAGTTGAAAGGACACATTTACCTTTCCTGTCTTGCTCTGTTTTGTCTGATGCAGCTTTGCACAAAGTTTTGAAACTGTAAAGTATGAGTCCACTAAATGTGGTCTTCTTTTTAATGACTGTTTTAGCTATTTTGGGAGCCTTGAGATTCCATATTATTATCAAGAAGAAGTTTCCTATAAAATGCACTTTCTATAAAATGCTATTGGGATTTTGATAGGAATATCATTGACTCTGTAGATTACGTTGAGTCATATTGACATCTTATCAACAGAAGTCTTCCCATTCTAGGAAATTCCATGAATACACTGGTATGTGTCTCCACTTAAGTCTTTAATACCTTTCAGCAATGTACTGTGAGTTGATCCTTAAGTATACTCCAAAGTATTTACTCAGAAGGCTTTGGTAATGTAATTGTTATTCTAGTTTTGTTTCTGGATATTCATTTGTAACCAACTTTTGCATGTTGTTTTCTACCCTTTCTTATGGAAATTGCTTAATAGTTCCAACAATTGTTTTCATATGTTTATGGTTTTCTACACATTAGATCATAACATCTCCATGTAGAAAAGGTTGAGTGATAAATGCCATTAATACAGGTTGCAGACTATAACCCTTTAAAAGGTCATCTTCTATTACTACACTGTTCATGCTTTTTTCATGCTTTTTCTTACCTAATCACTCTGGTGAGGACTGCCAATGCTATACTGAATAGAAGTGGTAAAAGTGTATATCCTAGCCATATTCTTAATCTGAAGGTGTAAGCTTTTGATCTTTCACCATAGAGAGGGATGTTAACTACGGGTTGATATGAAACCATTCTAAAGCCATAAAGATTCTCATGATTCTTCACTCTGGGATTAAATTCTTAGACAAATGGTCCTCTATTTGTATCATTTTGTCTGCTGGTTCATTCCTCAAGTTGCCCCAACAGCTGGTTATATCTGGGTCTCCAAAATGGGTCATAGGAACCAAGTACACGGCCCATCTTTGCTTTCCCAGGCATATTTGCAGAAAGCTGGATCAGAAATCCAGCATCCGGGCCAGCATTGTGGCTCAGCAGGTTAACGCCCTGGCCTGAAGCGCCAGCATCCCATATGGGCACCAGTTCAAGATCCAGCTGCTCCTCTTCCAATCCAGCTCTCTGCTATGGCCTAGGAAAGCAGAAACAGATGGCCCAAGTCCTTGGGCTCCTGCATCCACGTGGGAGACCAGGAAGAAGCTCCTGACTCCTGGCTCCTGGCTTCGGATCGGCGCAGCTCTGGCCGTTGCGGCCATCTGGGGAGTAAACCAGCAGATGGAAGACCTCTCTCTCTTTCTGCCTCTCTTCTCTCTGTGTAACTCTGACTTTCAAATAAATAAATTAATTTAAAAAAAAGAAAAGAAAGCCAGCATCCAAGAACTAAATAACA